ATCCAGCCCTTAAACCCTAGGAGACCCCTCCCCCTTCCCCCTTCCCCCTCTCCTCCTCCGCCCCCCGCCTCACCTGCGCCCGGACCACCCGCTTGTCCCGCTTCTTCACGAACGCCACCAGCTCCCGCACCGCGTCGATCCACTCCCTCCGCGCCTTCTTACGAGCTTTGGCGTTCTCCTCCTCCATCCGCCGACGGACCTGCCTGAAAGGGAGGTGGGGAAAGACGAACCACGAGCGAGTGAAGGTGATGCTAAGGAAAGGAGGTGGGGAAAGACGAACCACGAACGAGTGAAGCTGCTGCCAGGAGGGGAAGGGCGCGGCGAGGGAGGGGAAGGGAAAGGGACAGCCGCAGGGACGCAGGGACAGCGGCAGGGTGAGGGTGAGGGTGAGGGAGGGCGGTCCGGTGAGGAAAGGGAAGGGAAAAATGCTGAAGAAGGAAGGGGCTTGAGGAAAAGGTGGAGATGTGCTACATACTTAACTTCTCATCCGCCCCTCCTACCTCTCCCCCCCATTTCAACCCCTCCAAAAGCGAACCTGTGCGGTGCCGCAGCTGGGTTGTACAGATCCGCCCAGGCGAAGTTGCGGCAGGTGGTGTAGCTGCCCCAGCGGGCGTAGAAGGCGGTGACGGTGGCGGTGTCCGACTGGGAGGTACCGAAGCCCGGGAAGGTGGGCGCCGAGGAGCCGCCGGCGCTGTCGTCATCGCTGTCCGCGTTGGCTGCATGTGTGTGTGTGTGAGTGTGTGTGGTTGGGGGGGGGTCAGTGTGGTCAGATGAGCGCACAAAGTGGTGGTCGTGTGCGGTAGTGACCACGTGGCAGGCGGAGGAGGCGGCACAGCGCACCGCGGGCGAGGGAAGCGGTGCAAGGACCGAGTGATCGGAGAGGGAGGGGGGGTAGGGAAGAGGAGAGGGAGGAGGGAGAGAACGGGTTAGGTCGGGCGTGGTTGGGGCCCGGGGGAAACGGAGAACACGGCAGGCAGGCAGATCATCCTCACTGAAGCGCGGTGAACGACGGCACCTCCAGGGGGGAGAGCCCAACAATCGGCGGTGCAACTTCGAGACAAACACAGACAGACAGACAGAGATACCGACCCACCCGCATCTCTTCGCTCCCAGGCCTCTTGTTCCTGCTTAGCAAGCTTGGCGAATACAGCCTCGTACACGCCATAGAAGCCCTGGGGAGATCCAGAATCCGGTTCCACATCCACATCCACACATCCACACGCAGATAGTAAGCAGGTCAGAGAGGAGCAGGCAGCCGGCGGCGGCAGCGTCGCGAACGCGGCATGTGTAGGTATGTATGTGTGTATGGATATATGTATGTGCACACCTACCTACCTACCTACCTACGCACATACGTACATACGTACATGTACATACACCCTTCCTAACCTCCTCAGCCAACCCCCCACTCAACCGCCCTCCCTCCCTCCCGCCCTCAGGACGTTCTAATTCCAGTGACTCGCCTCAACATCTCTGCTGAACATGCCTTGATCTGCGGCCGCCCCTCCAACAGCGCCCCTTTCCTCTCCAACGCACGCACACACACCTTCCACCCCCTGCTGCATGCATTGGACTTCCCCACCTTTTTTACCCCGACCTTCCTATCTCCGCCCTTTGGGACGTCGGCAGTGATGTTTTTGCACTTTTGCACATACTCTCCTCTCCTCTCCCTTCTTCCCTTCTCCTCCCCTCTCCTCCCTTTCCCCCCTCTCCTCCCTTTCCCCCCTCTCCTCCCTTTCCCCCCTCTCCTCCCTTTTCCCCCTCTCCTCGACCACCCGCACAGCCACCCAGCCAGCTATGATACCCGCGGCCCAGGAAGCCCCCTTAGAACCCACCTTAGGCCCGTCCCCATACCCCGAGTAGCAGCTGCTGGTGAAGAAGGAAAACAGCTCCTCGTCCTCGGGGGGCTTGCCGGAGGAGCCCTCGAAGCCACCCCCGCCTCCGCCAGCCTGGTGCCGTTCGCCGCTGCGCAGAATCTGGTCGCGGTGGTCATCGTACCTGCACAGTGCCGTATGACGTACGTACAGTGCCTTACGACATGAAACACGAAACTGGAAGATATGTGACATTTTAAGGAGTACACTCGCGGCAAGCGGGAGGTGGGCTGTGGGGGCTGTGTTGGGTAGTCGGGAAGTCGGGAAAAGAGCTGCAGCGAGGACAAAGTGAGCGCCAGAGAGCTAAGAGCATTAGTCCTCCCCAATTGCGATTTGCGGTGCGGGTTCCGCAACCCGAGTGTGGCTGACTCTCCGGCTGCACCGGCGGTCCACGGGACTGTATGGGAAGCAAAATCCTTTGGGCCCTCATCGTCATCATCACCACCATCATCATCATTGCCACCACCATCATCATCATTGCCACCACCACCATCATCATCATCATCATCATCATCATCATCATCAACATCATCATCATCATCAACATCATCGTCATCATCATCAACATCATCATCATCATCATCATCAACATCATCGTCATTAGAACCCTCGCTGAGGCCACCCAATGCCCCACCGTCACACCCCCGCACACATCCATCCACCCACCATTTACACCCTTCCCCCCTCACCCTCTCCCTCACCAGGCCCGCTCGTGCTTGTCGCTCAAGATCTCGTAGGCGTTTTGGATCTCCTTAAACTTCTCCGCCGCCTCTTCCGCCCGGTGGGCATTCTTGTCTGAGACACAACACGATTGTCAGCGGGTGAGTTACACGACATACCATACCAGTCAATCACAACACTCAGCCAGATCATCCGTACGGAGTTTATTTCACTAGACGTACGCTATGCACTTTGGTGGTTCCGGAGCGGGTCTCCTTGGAGGGGTTCCGTTTGGAAGCACATGTATGATATATAGCATGCGCGTCACCACGCCGTACAACGCGTGCATCCATACACGAGTCCATGTTTTTTTCCAGTCGTGACATATCGTCAACAAGGATGAGGATCTGGACATCCAGGCCAGGAAGCAGGGATCGGATCGGATAGCGACCAAGAAGAGGAGGGCAGGGCAGGGAGCGTTGCAGCCAAGCCTCAGATGCCACCACCATGTGGCGATCATAGCGGTGTCTACACAGGGAGAACTGAGTAGTAGTAGTAGGAGTAAAACTCGGGTTCGGGGTTCGGGTTTTGGGTTTCGGAGTTGGGATCCACTTTTCGAAGTCAGGTTGTGAATGGGGTGCAGGTAACAGACATGCTTATGGTTTTTGGCACGTGAGGTGAGAGAGGGGGAAGAAAAGGAAAAGGGAGAAGGGGGAGAGAGGGAGAAGGGAGACGGAGAAGGGGGGAGAGGGAAGGGGAAGTGAAGGGGGAGAAAGAGGAGGTGGACCCGCAGGGCACAACCGCGCGCTGCCGGAGGAGATCCCAATGGGCCGGGGACGTGGCCAGGGGGGCCCGGAGGGAGAGATTCACGCGGTACACCAAGACACAACCAGACACACGCTGACGTAAATCTCACGTCATGTCCGGGGCTGTGCAAGGAAGGGGAGAGGGGCCAGCGGACGAGAAAGTGTGTGTGTGCGCGCGCGGGGGCCCTGAGAAGGCTAAGCGGATATGATTTTTGGCCAGGCCAGGTCGGGAATGGCCTCACATTCATTGGGTAGTGGAGTCGGGGAAAAGGGGAGTGTAACAGGGGTAGGATGGCGTAGTTCAAGGAGGGGATCATTGGGGTGGTCGAGGCCAGGAGAGGTGGTGGGAGCGCATGCTAAAATCCTTTTGTGCAAGGGAGAGGTCCGCTATGCGGGTCACAGGTCCCTGCCATGAACCCTTGGGGAAGGGAAATCCGGCCCTGCTTTGTGGGGTTAGGGCCCCGATGGCTGCACGGCTATCGGGTACGCCATGAAAGTAAATGGAGAGGGAAGTGCTTGATATGACTTGCATGAATGGGGACGCTTGGCCTGGGCTTGGCCCGAAGCCGTAACATCCTGGGTACGGCTCCATACCCCATACCCACCTGGATGCCACATAAGCGCCTGTTTCCGGTAAGCCTTTTTAATGGAATCTTCATCAGCGTCACGTGAGACTTCTAGGACCTCGTAGAGGCACCGCTGTTTTGGCGCAGCCGGCGCCATCTAGCCTAATGAAGTCGATAGCCTTGCTACCAACAGCGATTTATCCACGTGAAAATGATCGTACACAAGCTGATGCAATATTTAAGTTACTGAGGGCGCCTGCATAATCGTAGAAGCTTCTTTAATTTAGGAATCCATCGTGCACAAGTCTCCTTTCCCGTATACTAGGCCTTGAAATACTGAAGAAAAACCATTTATTCCATATATTCACGAAATTGCTTGAAGGTCCATTTTTCTTGGCCAGCGTACGGTTGATTTGTACATACGACGGACAGACGGCTGCGTCTAGCGATTCACACTTGGCAGTGCCCTTACACATGGCATATGCATCAGGGAAATAAGGACGTGCATTTGTATCAATATGAGTTCCTTTTTGCTGCGCAAGTCCTGGCATGGCTCTACCTTTGCTTATTGGATCCTACAGATGCGGTGCCAAAACGGATAGCTTCCAATTTTCTGGGTTCATTGGTTGAACCAAAGGCCGAGGAGCTTGCTCGGCTCTTTTGCTATGCGGCGAGGGGACATTGGCCTTATAATTGTCAGACAAGTGCTTCTCCTTGCATGCGTATTGCATAGCACGTGCGGTCACCAGCAACGTACCAAGCTTGTTGAGCTTAATTTGGGGCCTAAAGGTGCGATCCCTTAGCGCCGTGCTTCCTGCGAAAGGGCAAGTCAACACATGGCAGGCGGCAGAACCCTGGCAACGGGTGCTGTTTGCAGAGCATTTTGTCTTAGTTAGATGCAGCGTATGTTACAAACGATCGTCGGGGGCTTCAAGCGACTTAGCACACCTGCGGACCCGGCTTCTCAACCCCAACCAAATCACCACGGCGCGCCATGGCGCGAGGAAAGCCTGAGCCTTGACCGGTTCACGTGCCCCATACCCCAGATTCATCGTCACCGGACTATATCAAGCTCGTGGACCCCGACGCAGTCAGACCCTTCCTTGCGCTAAAGGACCCCACCGCCGCATCCGGCAACGACATCCAGCAGTTGTACGAGCAGGGCGCCAGCATATCGGCCATCGCCTACCTCCTCTTCGCGGCCGCTGAGCCACTATCCAAAGCCCAAGGTGAGGAGCTCCACTTGGGCCACAGTGCCTTCCTCCGGGATGGATGCTGGGACCGGGGAGTGGTTTTTCCCACTGGTCAGGAGGCTGGCTGAGGGGGAATCACCAGTAAGAGATGGGCGGATGAGAGATGCCCGACCGACGGGCACCGATCGCTGCCTAGAAGTCCCTGCTGGCGGGCCGGTGCTGCTAGTCAGGTGCCGAATTGGCGGCTGGCCTGCTTCAAAGCAAACGACTTGAAGCGGGTGCCAACACGCTCCGCAATACTGCACTACGTCGCATAGCACTACACTGCATCATCCCCGGATGAGCATTAACTCTCAGCCATGAACAGCACGCTGGTGGCGACAGCTGCGCTGCATCGAGCACCTCCGCTGTGGCCTTAGCTTCAAACTAGCATCGTAGATACCTGGCTTGGCTTCGGTATCGCCGCCGCATGCCGTCCACCCATTCACAGGATCCACAGCAGCCCTCTTGCCGTACCTCTCGCCCACCGTACTTCGGCTGTACGCGACCCAGCCGGAGCGATGCAGCTCGGACCTCGTGAGACGCCTGTACGGCCTATCTGTTGCCTTGTGCGGCAACGATGTCCTAAAGGTAGGGGATCCAGTGCTCGCGGCTTCGGGATGCGTGTTTGTGGGTTCCTGTGGCCAGGCGCATGGGTGCCTGGATCGCCCTTATTGTTGGGGGGGGGTCGAACGGGGTGGGCTTGGCGGGTTGGGCGGGAGCGCACTCGACGTGCTCCAATGTCTGTTTGTTTCTGCATCGGTTCCTGTGCGCATGTTTGTATATCTGTACTGCGTGTGCCAATGGGTTAGGGGCACACCCACATTCTTGGCTTGTGGACGGCACCCTGCGGCAGCTTCTCAACCTGTGATCAACGTTTGCTTCCCTCCTTGCAGTCCTGCCACTACGATCTGTACACCTCCCTGGGAGCTGCCTTTTCCTGGGTCCGGGACAACATCCCCCTGCGGCTGCAGGAGGTCCCCGGGCAGCCTCTGGCCTCCGCCACGTGGCCCGACATGTCGCGGACACCCCCGCTCAAGCTGGCGGCGAGGGTGGCGGAGGCGCTGCTGTCGAGCCAGCCAGACGATCAGACGCTAGGGGTCAACACAGCCATCCTGCTTAGCAATGGCTGCGAACTTGCAGCAGCCGATTTTGCGGCCTTGGTTCCAGCCATTTCCGCGGCCCTGACGGACCTGCACGCGGATCTGCTGCTGCTGCAGCAGCTGGCGAAACAGCTTTTTGTCTCCCATTGGACGATGCACGACCCCAGCAGCAGTAGCGATGGCAGCACTGACAGCATCACGGGTACAGCGCTCTCGGCGGCGAGTGCTGATTCATCGCCGGACATGGCGGCTTCGACAAGGTTAACTTCCGCTACCGCCAGCAGCAGCGTCAGCAGCAGCAGCACATATTTTTACTCGATGCCGCCGGACGACTTCGTTCCGGCGCCACCGGCAGCGCAGGCGCCGCTGCTGCTTCCGCTGGTGTTCCACATCATGCTGTATTGGGACCGCAACGGCGCCGTAGCGCCCTCGCAATACACCCAGGCGCCGAGCTTCTTGGAGCGCCTGGTGCGTGTCGGGAACACAATGGCCCGACCTGCCAACATCCAGTTTTTCATCAAGGTAGGGTAGGTTAGCGGGCCTCGGGCTGTAGGGCATTGCGGGGACTGGACTGGAGGGTCTCTTGGTGCGGTGGGAAAGACAGGGCGGACATTGATGTTCTTTAGTCGTAGCACAGTGGTAAACGCGCTCACTCTGCGCTTGGCGGAGACGTCAGCGCCCCGCCCTAGGGAAGTGCCTTGAGTTGAGCTAAGCTGGGCAAGAAGATGGTTTATTGATGGTTTTATGCTGGCCGGCGGGGGCTCCCGTGCCCCTGCCTAGGCCTCCCGTGTCATCCTCCGCACTACGCTTGATCTTTAGCAACCACTGGAAGGGTTGCGCATGCAACTGATTTCATTTCGTGTTGATTGTGCAGGACGTCCGAAACGACCCAGCGGCTTACCCCTACCTCATGCTGTCCAGCCGAGTGGCATGGCTGCTGTGCCCTTCCGGGGGAAGCTATGAGGACGAGTGCATCCGAAACCGGACCTTTATGAGAAGGTAAGTGGGTGGGTAGGTAGGTAGCGTAGGTAGGACGTTTGCTAGGTAGGTAGCGGAGGTTAGGTAGGTCGTCTTAGGCCGCCGTCCGTGGCCGCCTCCCAAAAGTGTATGTTGGGGGCCTTGCGGCATCTGAGGTTCAGCAAGCCAACTCTACAGAACTCACACGGTGTTCCGCTGTGGCATGTAAATGAATGGCTCAATAGCTCAACGTCGGACTGGAATGCTGCCAAATGCCTGGCACTGCCTGGTATGCTGCCAAATGCCCTAAGACCCTCTACAAGACCCCACTGCTGGGCCCTCATCCCGCCCCCCAAGACCCACGCCGCATGCATGCTTCCCTCTGCAGCATCATCACGGACTTTCCCCGCTCTGTCAACGTGTTCGTGGTGAGCGACTCCACTGTCATGAAGGAGCTGCCCGTTGGTCGAGCATGGATACCTGGGTAGGTGGTTGGGTGGGTGGTTGGGTGGTGGCTGAATGGACCCCTAGCTGGGTCAAATGGGTAGACGGGTTAGGGTGAGATGTGTGAGGTGTTGTGGTGGCTTCACTAGACGAGTAGCTGTTTGGATGGCTGATCTCGGTGGGTGTTGGGTTGGGTGAACTGTTTGCATGCACGGTGAATGGGTTGGGCAGGTGGAGCGTTCTTATCGACGTGTGCCATTCAGCAACTCGGCAGGTTTGTGTGGGCGGGATTGGGGTTGTGGGAGGGTTACCGTACCATCCGGTGTGTGCTGTCGATGACCAGCTGGGCCTTTTAAGGCTCATGTACTGCAAAGCCCACAAGCTCGTGGGTTGCCCACCGTCATGAGGCCCACTAACTTACTTCACTGAACTTCCATCGCTTGCCCAACCAAGCCCGAGGGCATCCTTACGCTCTTGCTAAGGAGCAAGAGCGTACGGATGGTTCCTGACCCTGTCCCTGCCTCGTGGCATATGCGTGGCGCGCATAGCCACGTGTTGAGTATGCGTGCATGCCATGCCAAAGGAATGCAACCCCACCGTCACTGACTGGACCTCCATGCAACGGCCCTGCACGGACCGACACGGCTTACCATGGACCCCCATGCACCACGGCACGGCACGGGATTTGCCACACCCTGACCAGAAAACAAAGCACGGCGCGGACTGCCACACGACACGGACCCCCACTTTACACGGACCTCCATGCCGCTCCCCGGACCCGCATGCAGCTCCGACCTTACCCCCGGTTACGGCCACGTGTTCATGACCTGGGACGGAGTGTCCCCCTCGGGCTCCAACTCGCTCACCTTGTACAACGATGGCCCCAACACCCTCGTACATGAAATCTTCCACCACCTGGGGCTGCGACACACGTTCACGGAGGCAAGCAGTACAACGACCCTTGCTACCACTGGTGGCTGCGTGGATGCCGATTACGGTGAGGGACCGCTTCGATGCCACAGTGTGTGTGTGTGTGTGTGTGTGTGTTGCCGGCAAAACAAGACAAGGGCAATGGAGAGTCCCTAGGACTCGGACATGTTGGTACCTCCTCGGTAGCAGCCACCAGCGCGTTCGAGCCAAAGCAAAGCAAATAGGGTGTCTTCATCGATAGCAGCTATACATGCGTCGTGCTGGCCATGTCATCCGGCTTGGAGGGTTGGAAGAGATGGAGGGAACAAGCGAGGCCAGGAGATGTCCCTCAACGTAGTGCATTAGATGTTGTGTGTTCTACAACTCGCATGTCTTGTGGGTTGCTTTGCCGATGGACTGCTTGCTCTCCCCGGCTGCTTGCCCTCTCCATCGCCGGCCCGCCCTGGCCACGGGATGCGCTGCTATCTAAACACGCCTCGTATGTTGGCGCGGCGCGGCTCTGGGGATTGTCTCTGTCCCGTTCTTCTTCTTGCTTTGATCGCCAAGTGATCGACACGCCCACCACGCTTGGTAAGTCAATGGGGGAACAAATCATGGGGTTGCATAAAAAGATTCGTGCATGTCATCTTCGGAAGGCGATTTGGGGTGTTGGACGGACGCGAGCGCGAGGTGGCTGTGGGTATTTATGGGGTTTGTTGGTGGGGCGTCCAAAGCTGTTGCTTTCGATTGGTAAAGAAGGACAAAAGAATTACTTGTCAATTTATTCGCCAAATTAATATGTAACTATTACCGGACCTACCTAAAGACGTTTCCAAGCGATGGGGTTACAAAATTTAAAGGCATATTCGGTTCTCAAGTCAGGTCAGGGAAGGGCACCGAAAGCAGGCGGTCAACCAGTACACGAAAGGAATGCCATCTACACGCACTTTCGCAGCACCCCAGAATGTCCTGTCCCTGTTCCCATAGCAAATTGGCTAGTCAGATATTCATGGCGTGCGCATGCCGTGCTGACCATAGTATCCAACCGCCAACGGACAGGTACAATGGGCTCTAGCACCTTCGCGGCGACTGCCACATCGTACTGCATGGAGTTATTTTGGGGGCAGTACGGCGGCGACTGGGACGCGACATACGTTCGTTGGAGCAGCACGCTGGGTATCCCAGATACTGACATGAACGCCTGGGCAGACAGCTGTCCCGGTAATCCCGGGTACGACGAGCTGGGCAACTACATGACGTACAGCACCCCCGTCTGCTTCGCAGCTCTGGGCCACTTCACGCCAGCGCAGGTGCAGCGGGCGCATTACGTGACGGCGGAGCTGAACCCCGTGTTGTATGCATGGGGGCAGTACTATGCGCAAATGGCGGCTCCTCCTCCGCCCACAGCTTCTCCACCACCCGAGCCCTACAACAACACCTGCAGGGTGCGTGTGTTGGTAACGTAGGGTGCTCCGTGCGTTGCATGTGTGCATGGATGTGTTGGAAAGTGACCGACACTCATAAACCGGTAAATGGTGACAGCAGTACTAGGACCCGAGGGGTCCGCGGCGCTTTGCTGATTCTAACAGGATGTTTGTAAATGCCGGCCGCATCACCGCAAGTAGAAACAAAAGGAACAGGAGCCGGTCCCAACAGAGAGAAGGGACAGAGGCCAAACCTCAATTGATTTTCATTAAAATGTTTTTGTTGCGTTCCTTGCCTGGTGTCACGGGAGGAAGGCCTAAGGATAATGTCCTCTACCAGCAAGATCTGGATTCGTGACGCTGCAATGTGTGCGTGCGGACGTGGGGATCATCAAAGGATCCCTGGACTCAGATGAGATCCGGATTCGGATTCTGATTCGGACGGTCTGGAGGAGGACCGTCGGGTGATGTGCGCCGAAGGGGATGTGCCAACGCAAGCGGCTGAGCAATGACTCCACGCAATGGCTGCTTGAACGATCTGGTGCTGGTCCTACCTAAAAACCTAACTACCTACCTAAGGACCTAACTAGCTACCTAGCTACCTGCCTAAATATGTGTGCCTGGTGTTTTACACGTACGTCTACCCAGATGAGCCGGGGAGGCTGCGCCTGCAAGAGCTCCTGGACCTTATCGAATGGCTCCACCACCTACTCCTATTGCGACCGCATCTTCAACAACAATACCCTCGTGTGAGCATACAGCGCCATGCGTGTCTCACTGGTTTTGTTAGGAAGAGCATCGCGTTGCTCACTGCAGATAGCGAGACCTTTTGGATTGTCCACTAGTGGGGCTGAGTCCAAGCCTGCAGGAACTTCAGGCGTCTGGCGCTATTCGTTATTCGGGTTCCATTTCGGCAAATACCTGGACTAGCCTAGGGGCTGGTCAAGTGCGTGACCGTATTTGTCCCTGCGTCGGGGTCATTTAACCTCTGCACCGAATTTGTATGCCCGCATATGACACAGCTGCGAGGTTCTAAACCCGGCGACGTGCAGCGCATGCAACACCACCAATCCCGTTGTGAAGTGCCTGGCCACTTGCTCCGGTGAGCTATAGCGTGCGAGCCGGCGTGGTGGAGCGCAGCTGGCAGTGTGTGTAGAACTGTAGATAGCCACTCCCATGCCTCAGCTCCTGTGTCCCCTCCAGTGGTGGTCTTGCTGCTGGCCCTGCTGCTGCCGCTGCCACTCCCTGTTCAAGCGCCGATAGCGGGGATTAGGCTGCTTGCATTGGTGTTACGTTGGGTCTTAGCAGCCATCGTGCAGCCACCGTACCGCCTCGTCACATCTTGTCCAATTGCCCATAGGGGGTTGCGTCGACGCCCAGGACGCCCAGGACGCCATTCTCTTACCAAGCCTTAAGCCCTACCGACTCCCGCCTTTCCCTCTCCCCCGGTGTCCACTCCCTTGTCGTCTTCAGGCACTCCACGGTCCTGCAAGCGGCCCCCGGCGCCGGGCACTAGGGACCCGCCTCCTCCTCCACCGCGCCCGCCCTCACCACCGCCAATGCCACCGCCGCCGCCCCCGCGGGATGTGCCCTCGGAGTGCAAGGTAGGAAGCGGCCGCTGCAGCAGCAGTAGCAGCCACAGCCCACATGCATAGCAGCGCGGAGCAGGTAGGTGCAGGTGCAGGATCCTGCAGGCCAGGAAGAAAGCATGCCGCAGCGCCCGCTGCAGGATGAAGGCCAAGAGCCCATGATTGCCAACGGGGACGTAGTAGTGTACACTACATGTAGGAGCCCGTCCGGTGTCCAGAACTGAATATGCGATACCTTATGCCCTAGCCTGAAACGCCTTACACCCTGCATAGCAGTACGGCAACTGCATCCCTCGTGGTTGGTCGATTGTCACAACCTTCACTACCCCATGCCACCTCGCCCACACCAGGCATGCTTCCCGGTCGGAGACGGCACCTTCGCGCCCCCGTTTCTTCCTTCTCCCCCTTTCCTCCGCTGTAATACACTATCTTCCATCCCTCCCGGGCAGACTGCAGCGTCTGGATGCGCCTGTCGGAGTACTTGGCAGTACGGTGCCTACTTCTACGGCTATTGCGCATCTCCCAGCGGCTCGCCGCAACTGCAGTAAGTCGGTCGGGACGCACCGACAGGGGAGCGCAGGCGGGAGGCAGGGAAGCGGCTACAGAGAGTGGGGAGGAGTGAGGCTGGGGCTACCGGGACTAGCAGCAGCAACGACCAATACCAATGCATGCCACCGTAGGCCTTCTCTTCCATCTCCCATTGCCCTCTTACGGCCTCGCTCCTTACGGCCATCTGTGCACATGGCCACGCTCTCCTCTCCCACCACGACTTCCAGATGCCAGGTGGAGCCCTCATGCCCCTCATTTGACCCGGAGAACCCCCTACAGCCATGTGCGCCAAGCCTGACCGCCTCGTTGTGCGGTGAGAAGAGGGACGGGGGAATCGTGTGGGAGTCAGGCGGCTGGGTTGCTTGTGCAGCATGAGGGCATGAGGATGTATGCGCGAGTGCTCTGGACCACGGCCGAAACATGGTGTACTTATGGTTGTATTATGCGGGTGTGCCTCTACCTTTCGGGATGCCCTCAAATTCGCTCCACGTGGCGCACGTGGGCTTGCGGTGCTACTGCTGTCGCGCTGCCCAGTGGTGCATCTGCCCACGGTTCGGGCTACCTTACCTGAACCGTGACGGCTTATTGTTCGTTGCGTCTGCAGGCGGCCGCATCCGCATCGCAACCTCCCTCCAGGCGGCCCCCATGCTGCCGCCTTCTTCGTCGCGGCCGCCGGCCCCACCCCGGCCGCCACGGCCCCCGCGGCCGCCACGACTGCCGGCCGTACCCATCCTCCCTTCACCACTCTCGAAGCGACCGCCCTTTCCGCTGGAGCCCGATCTGCCGGCGCCTATCTCCGGTGCGCAAAGCTGAGGTGTCGCAGCAGCTGCTGATCCTGCTGAAGATAACCCCCCTCCCCCAACGTGTAAATGTTATACACGTATTAGCGGTAATCATAGGGGCCCGGTAAATGCAAAAATAATTGTCCTTCAAGGGTAAAGGTGGGGAGATGTTGCCTATATAGGATACGATGGAGGGTGTGACCTTCCACATTCAGAGGGTGGTATCGTGTCGACAAGGTGCCCCGCATCAATACATACCAAAAAGCCCACTGCATCGATACATACCGCCATCGATACAGAGGGTCGGTATTACCTGCCACCCTTTCCTTCCATATTGACGAGGACGGCAAACATGCGCACGCAAGCAAAGTACCCCAAGGGGCTCCGTCATTGCGCGACCAGCAGGTGGTGGGGCCCCTTGCCACAGACCCTTCCACTAACACTAAGATGCACCGGCGGAGCGAGAGGCAATCTCGCCCAAAGGTGGCAAACCTTTGACGACGTGGCATTCCAAACGTGACCCTCCTTAATGTAAATCTCTTAGCATTCCTCTGAGTGTGTGTGCGCATCTGTTTGTATGTGTGTGTGTGTGTGATGCAGGGGATGACGTCATCTGTCATAATAAAAGCTGTTGATTTACGGGAGGCAGTGAAAGAATCTCTCTCCCTACATCTATATCTATCTAGATATCTAGATATCTAGATAGATATCTAGATAGATATCTAGATATCTAGATAGCTATCTAGATAGCTATCTAGATATCTAGATATATACTCTACAGATCGCTCTATATTGCATATTTAGGACGCAGTAGATGGTGTTACCTTACGCCTTACAGGGCACTAAAGGCGTACGCAGCCTGTATAGGATTCATAGGGAATATAGTATAAGGCAGCAAGCCTAGGGATTGGCTTTGCTTCACCACTATGTTAGGATGTCAGAAGCAAACAGGTACTCTGGGGAGGACTCTTAGCTCACCACACGCATCCTTAGCGTCATCCAGAACGCAACCATAGCAGCCACCCGCGTGTATCCGTACCCTGCGGCACCCCTTCCCTCGCTACGGTTCCATCCCCCGTTCCTTCTGCTTACCCAGCATTCATCTCCTTCCCCCGTCCTCGCGCCATGTATCGTTGTCTTCTCACCCGCTCATGTGCCCTTTCCCATCTGCCATCTATCCCTCGCCTGCCACCCTGAGTAGCTTGTGGCAACCCCGGGGATGAATCCACCTGTTTTGGGGCACCACCTCCACGTCAACCTCCGCCATCATCTCCTGCTTCGGGGCCAGCGGCAACGGCGAGTAACCGCAGCGACCTGACCTCAATGATCGTGGGCATTGCTATTGGCACCTCCGCTGGACTGATCATCCTGACGTTGCTGGTGCTGGCCGTCGTCTGGTACCGTCGCATGTCCCAAGTCCGAAACCGGGTGAACCCGGTGGCGCAACGCGCAAGTTCGGCGGAGGGGGACCGGCGTGGGCATGTACCAGGAGGGGCCGGCAGCGGCAGCAGTTGGGCCGTCAGAGGCCGAGGCACACCAGGTCCAGCGCCGACCGTGCTAGGATCCCCTGCAGGCTCAGGGTATGAGGAGGTAATGCAAATACCGGGGCCGGCAGTGACGGGGCCAACCCCAGCGACGGCGTCGTCCACAACAGTAACACCGCCGTTAACAGCAGGAGGAAGGTCATGGCGGCAAACCGCGATGGTGCCGGCTGCTGCGGTGGCGGCAGCGGTGATTCCGAGCAACAACACGACTTCAACTGCTGTCACCGGTGCTGTCGGCCACCTCGGACGCTTTGGCTCCGTAGCGCTACCGGCGGCCTTGGCGGGCCCGCCGTTGCAGGCCTCACCTACCTCACCCCCGCCGCCGCTGCCGTCGGCAACGGCAGTAGCGGCAACGGCCTCTGCAACTGGTGAAGAGCCACCCCGGGAGGTTCTTGCTACGCAACCGGCGGAGTCGACCTCCCTCCCATCTTCTTGGGCGCCGACGGCGGCGATGACGGTAGTACCGCCGCCGCGACGGCTTGCACCACTGCGCACCGGCCCTGCACTGGCATCACCGCGGATGGTACTGCCTCCGTTTAGGCGGACGACTGCTGCTTCTGCGACGGCTGCATTGCCGCACACGCTGCATACCGCAGCAATGGAAGGCGTTGCTGCTCCAAGCGGCTTGCGGGGTAATGTGGTCGCAGTGGATGATGAGGAAGATGACAGACACAGGCGAGACCATGACGAGCAGCAGGTAGCTGTGATTCCAGGTGCATTGTAGCTTCTGGAGGTGCCCAGAAGATTCCACAGGGACATTGCACTAGCAGCGGCAGTGTTAGCTCGTTCAGTCCGCTCCGAACCCACCATCGCCACTTTGATGGACATCAGCAGCTGTACCCCGTGGCAGAGCCGCTGCGCTTCCCAGGACTAAGAAGGCGTAGTCCTGGGAAGCGCAGCGGCTTCCCAGGACTACGTTTTCTTAGCACATGGTGTAAGTACGGACGAAGGTACGGCTCATGCAGACGCTGGCGTCGACGGCTTATCGCCGCCGCCGCAGTAGCAGCAACAGCGGGCGTGGCAGATCACCGCGATGGTCCTTGTGCCGCCCCGCCTCTTTCTACACAGTAGCGGCCAGCCGCTGAAAAGGCCCCTCAAGATGCTTGCATTGTCGTGGCAGAGCGCTCAACGAATAATTGTAAACGACGTGTGTGCCGTACTTTACGACAGCTACCACATTTTATGATATGCCGTTGCGGTTGACGTGTTGCTGTTTTCGGTGCTGTTGCCTGGTTAATCTCACCAACAACCTTACGGAGTGCTTTGTTAATTAATAATTGTTGTTGCCATGGTGGCTACTATTGGAAGTAAAAAAACGAGGATTACGGAGCAAAGCTGCTGCGAACATCTACAATATCCACTGGTCCCTATCGATGATTCTTCACCGGAGCTACCTGCCGCAGTGAATCCATGTGAAAGGTGCGTCGTGAAGGTACCTCGTTTGGTGGTGGCGGCGGCGGAAGCGGAACAGGAGGGTAGGATCCGAGCTGGAATTGGGGAAGAGCTCTGTCGCAGAATTGGCCTGGATCTTATTCCTGACCAAAAAATTCGTCCGTCGGGCTTTTGAATTGTTCTGGCAGGCTCGCCGGAGGTATTCGAATTGCGCTGTGGAGCCCCGGAATTGCGCTGTGCTGGGCCTGAATTGGCCTGTCCGGGTGTCGAGTTGGCCTGTCGGGATGTCGAATGAACCTGGCAGGGTATCGAATTAGCCTGGCAGGGTATCGAATTAGCCTGGCAGGGTATCGAATTAACCTGGCAGGGTATCGAATTAACCTGTTTGGGGTGTCGAATTAGGGAAGCACAGAAATTGTGCGACCGGGGCAGCCCAAAAAATTGCTCTCTCCGACCTTGTGTCCTACCCACCAGCGGAACCGCCTCCGGCAAGCGTAATCTTTTGCCTGCATGCCTAGGTATAAGGTCACGCCCACGCAGTTGTGATTCCGGCGTGTGAGCCGGCTGGCGGCGGCCGGTACACACGAATACACCGAATATTCGAACCCTACCTGAACATATGAAACCGAAAACGCTGGATAGGACCAACCCTACCTTACGACGGAGCAGTGTGTATGTGTACGTGTGCGTACGTGTGCCTATGTGTACATTCATATGCATGTATGTACTTTTTGTCTTCCCTGCATGCATGCTCACTCTGACTCGTTGTCAGTCCCGTTGATATACATACATACACGCTTTCTACTGTTGCTCTTTCCGATGCATGGAGACACGGCAGCCACCGTGTGAACACATCAGGGCGGGGCTTGTTGGAGCCCACCTAGGTGTGCCTCCATGGGGGTGGTTGCCCGTCTGGTTGATGCCATGGTCTCCTATGTGTCATTAATCCACACAATTTTGCCGGTGCGTTAATTTTGCATTTACTAGGTATATTTTGTGGCAAGTACTGAATGCGCAAAAGTGTGTCTGGGTGATTTTATAACTTCAAGTGCGTGTGCGTTTCTTTCAACTCATCAACTGCCTCGCCCCTGCAAAGCGCACAATTTAACGTGCGGTCGATGTACATCTGTGACCGAGCGTATTACCGTACCTTATTAGTAGTTAATAATGACTACTGCCAGCTGCAGTAGTTCGCCAGCGTTGCGTTGCGTTGCGTAATTGGTCGTACCTGCTGTATGTCAAGCGTGCCACACCCTTGTCATATTCCTCACTTGGCGAGAATTGCACTTTGTTATACGTGTACCACTACTTGCCGAGCGACGAACGTGGATTGGTGTGTGTGATGGGAATTCGGGCAATCTAGGTAACCCGTAGTTTCGCATACTTGGCGTGCGCACTGCTGTTGTATATGGCATATCAGCAACTGCTGACGCTACACAGCAGTTAATCGCTTGGTTTAGTAAGTAGGACACCAGGATACTTCTAAATGCATGTAATGGCCACTCGTTACACCTCTCTGGGTAACACAACCGAGGTGTAACACACACACACGAGCCTGGAGCCCACTGTAACAATCCCCCCCCCCACACACACAGTTTATGGTAGGGTGTATCCAACCGCAGCTGTTCCTTCGATAGCCTCACTCTCAACACTCATCAAACACGTGCGTGCGCCTCAAGCCTCTGAACCCTCCCATCAAGGTTTCCAATCCTCTCAAACTTGATAGATCTTCAGTGGCTCTGAATTCCCCCCTTAAGTTAAAGCCTCTCAAAACTCTACAGCCATCCCCGCGCTGTCTCTTGCTGGCAACCACTAGCCGCTCAAGCCCTCACGCAAGCATCCCGAGCACGTCGTAAAATGGTTTACTGTATATAGGCCATGCCATGCACGTCCCATAGGGCCATACACAGGCCTGTTCTGGCCCAGTTGCCACCCTGCCGGCTGTTGTATCATCACTTCTGAAGGTGTGATACAACAATAGATATCGAGTCCCGTAACCCTGTTCCGACCTGGGTTCTAATCAGGCCTGTGCGGATTGACCTGCGGAGATGGACTTGGTCGGGAACACACTCAGCTAGGAGGGCGGATAATGCCGTATCCTGTAGGGCGTATCACGAGATTCTGACATCCGCCGATCGGTACTTTTCTCAAGTCATGATACAATCCCGGCGCAGTTACTGAGATGTCCATACCTAAGTTACTGGGGCAGTAGGATTACTGGATTGACCACGGGCCGGTAACCGTCCTCGGTTCCGGTAACCATAATTGGTAGGTAGCCAGGCATGGCTGCACAACTGCTATTGCCATAGATTGTCATAGGTTGTTGATATGACTGTACCTGGCGTACATCGCCTGCGGTCGATGCACGGCATAGCATCGATGTTTCGACAAGTTGTATTGTGCATTCCTGTGCAGCAATGACATCGGGTCCTAACTACGTGGATAGACATTTACCACGCGTTGCGGTGCTGAGAGCACAGGTACCCTCAGTGTTTTTTAAACGTTTTCACCGTGGTAATATTGGTTACTGTGGGGGTTTTCCTTGGTAACCCCACCTTACAAAACGTTTTCCCCAGCGAGTATGCTGGACAGGAGCCCACGAGAACCTTGCATCCGAAGATCCAACTTCACTTGACAACAAGCCGTCTGAGCAAGCTTTCATCAACTTTGACTCTACGTACGGCAACGCGTTCCCGAGCCGAAGCATCACTGCTCCCATCCAAGCGTCAAAAACATTTTTAGGTGGTCCCTACCGCTACCGGGGGTCTGTGGCCCAGTTTCTAGGCGAGCACCTTATTACTGGCAGGTGACTCAAAACATTTCCTAGTGACCACCTTCTGGAAGGGAACCACTTGGTCACTAGTAACCACATTTAAAAACACTGGGTATCCTACGGCGTACGTCTTGGGCTGCGCATTCACCGTGCATACCGCATGGCCACCACCAACTAGCCAGTGGCGATTTCGGACCCTTGCTTCTGATATTGGGCTGAACCCGGATTCAGACGTGCGACCCTGCGATCGCAAAACCGCCTCCTTAGGAAAGTGCTTCAATCCCATATGACTATCTATGACATCTTCCTTTGGGGGTTGCATTCCTTTCCTAATCAACGTCCTCATGCCAAGCCCTGGCTCGCATTCGGCTCGAAGCTCTCAAGTCATTAGGGTTTGGGATGCGCGTAAGGATTCGGATTGGGCACTGGTTGCAGGATTAGGATTGTAACCCAAGAATCACAACCACCTTCAAAACCAACTGCAGGACAGTGAGGGACGCTCAAAGTCCGTTTCCTTGCGACGATTGTGCATTTCCATGCGATACAAATGAGGTGTACGTAATTGCGTGCGAATTGCTTACATTATTCGCTAATGTTCAAATCGTTGCTTGTTGATTAGCTGCTCGTCCGGTCGTACGGTGCAGCAGATTCGGCGCAGGAAGTCGCAGCCGAGGGCTGGGCAGATGACAAAGACGGTTAAGTCAGATTGTTGGAAAGATGAGCTGGGAATAATTCGTTAACTTCAGACAACAACTTCAAGATCACCCGACAACAGTAGATTGCCAAGCAGGCGCAAGTCAGAACTTAGTTTGTTGTGATTTCGACTTTAGGAGACTTTATTTTACGTCAGTCTTAGACCCAATCTTAATAACGAAGAAAAGCAGACGACCCAGTTTTACTTGCACGTCAGTCGTCAGTAACAGCGACGCGATGGCAGAGCGCGACGAATGGCGCGGCAGAGCCGGAGAAGGCCCGGAAGAGATTGAACCGGAAGAGTATGACGAAGGCGATGGAGATGGCGCTATAAAAAATTACCGTGAAGGCGGTGGCCCGCCCGCGGAGGACGATGCGGTGAGTTACGGACTCCGTCTAGTATCCCGCGCTGTCAGGAAGCAGGCGCAGCCGGATGCAACATGGCATCTACGGTTTAGTTTACAAGGGAAATGGGGCCGACGGGACATAGGTCGAGTCAAGTTAGCGTGAACGAGCTATGTCGCCGCTGAGGTTTGGCTTGATTAGCGGCCCAGGGTTCGTGATTACTTAACGGAGAGCATCTGAAACCGTCCGTGGCGAGTAGGCAATCGTGTGTCTTATGTTGAGGAAGAGAGGCGAGCCGGCTCTGAGTTAAGGGCGCCGCGTTAGTTGGGTACTTGCCTTTGCGTAGTTTGTTGTCACCGCGGGATACTCCCAGGGGCCAAGCGAGGGTCCCGCAGAAGCACCCGGGCTGCGTTGCGTTTATCGGGAAGGCCAGCCCCAGGGGGCATGCTCCCGTGGATTGAAGCACACTCGGGCTGTATTGTGTTAGGCCTGAAACGCCTGCCCCAGAGGGTAGGCTCTTGTGTACAGAAGGCACTCAGATGGTGAGAGTTTGCCGGGCTGGCTGGCTCACTGCGGGAGACACCCAGGAGGGTGTGTGGGTCTGGCCGACCCCGGTGATGGATGGTGTGATGGAAACCGGCAAACAAGGAATACCTAGGACATGGATCCGCCTACGGCTAGGCTGGCCTGGTATCTCAACGACCGGTGACGATGGGCGGTTGGGATGGTCCCACAAACAGGAAGTGGACGAAGAGGACTTGGAGCCGGAAAGGGAAAGGAACCTGGACAGTAGCACCGGACGAGATGCGGAGGTGGGGCGTCCGTCCGCAAAGGCAGCCAGACAAAGGGCACAGGAAAAGCGACCTCGGCAGCAGAGCCTCG